TGAATTTCCACAACCACAAAAGTTTCCATAAGAGCTCGTTCTGCAGCTTGAACTTCCACTTCCACCATCCCGACGGGCTCCACCCTCTTCCCATCGAACCCTAACAAGGGATTTCCAGTGGGCTTGAGCATCTCTGGTTTAATCTCGAGCCTGTCAAATGTGTCCCTCGGCATGACATTCGCACTGCTCCCAGGATCGATCAGAACTCTGCGCACCAAGCAGTCTGCTACTGTCAAACTGACTACCAACGGGTCTTCATGCGGCAGTTGAACACGCTGCAGGTCTGTCCAGTCGAATTTTATCTGCATCGACGGGCTCTGCTGGTGTAGAGTATTCACACTGCCGACCCTTTTCTTCATCTGCGCCTGCCGCAGGCGCGCCCGGAGCAGCTCATCTGACTCTTCACTAGGCTCGGGTCGACCATGGATAGCATTGATTATACGAACTGGTTGTGAATTGTGGGAGCTTTGTTTATGACTCCTTTTTATTTGTTCCACCGGTCGATTCTGCTCCATCGCCGAACCTTGAACATAACTCGCGAACTCCCCTCTAGCTATCAACATCTCCACTTGCCTCCTCAGGTTCCTGCATTCGTTAGTCTGATGACCGAAATCAGAATGAAAAGCACAATGTTTAGTTTGATCCCTCTGTTCGAGGGGTTGCCTAATTGGCAGTGGTGGATGAAACTTATCTTTGTTCTCCTGATACAGCCTCGCCAGAGTGACCTTCAGCGGAGTAATCAGCTCTTCCTCCCTGGACCTTTTTTCTGCCTTCCAAGAGGTCTGACGTTGCGGCTGAGCCTGCTTCTGCCTAATATTTGCCTTGGACTTTTCCTCGGTCGACACAAGCGACGTTGTCCGAGCATTAGCTGCCTCCTCTTCTTCTAGGCGCACAAAGCCATCGGCTCTTTCGTTGAGTTCATCCATAGTAGTCGGCGTGTTCACTACCAGACTGGTGTGAAACGGAGTTCCGCGTGTCATGGCTAACTTGAAGGCTTGAACTGCTGTAGAAGGGTGGCATTCGATCACCATACTCTTAGTGAGATTAAACCTGGTAAGAAAGGCCTGGAGACGTTCATCCTTGTGCTGCCTCATCGTGAATAGGCTCGAGATGTCCTTCGGCGGGCGCTTGTTCCCATAGTACTGGCTTATGAACCGATCGCACAGGTTTCTGAAACTACCAATGGAGCTCCTAGGCAAGTTTTTGAACCAGCTGAGCGCCGGTCCGGCTAGGCTTGTAGGGAAACATTTGCACATTAAAGAGTCGTTTTCCGTATTCAGGGCCATTTTCAACTGGATATGATACACATGATCGATCGGATCGGTCGTTCCGTCGAACAGAATAAAGACTGGCATAGCAAACTTCCTTGGATGCGGGGCATTCAAGATCTCGTCGGTGAATGGTGAATCCACCGTCCGAGCTGCGGATCGGAGAGCTTCATTCTCTCTCTGGAGTCCAGCGGTAGCTCTGTGAGTTACGGTTCTGCCCTCCGAACCGTGATGAGTGATAGTAACCATGGAGGGCCGGTAAGACGGATCGAACGACCGTTCCTCTATGAACTCTCTTTGCCAAGGCGACGCTACTCGACGGCGATCAACCTCCATCACTTCCTCTCGGTCGAACCTTTCCCGATGCGGATCAACGTGAGTCGATCCTTCGTGATCTTCAACTCGACGAACATTTGGCGGCAAATTGTCCATCATCCTTTCATCACGGTGGTGAGCTGACTGATTGTTCTCGTCCTGTTCGCCTTGATGCGCGATATTAGATTGAACACCTCCTTCTCCGACCGGAAGTGGATGCGAAACCGCAGGTATTTGCCGATGTTGCATTCCAGCTTTCAATTCTGCATTCTCTTTTTTGAGAGCTTCAATCAAGTTCATCAACTCCTCAAGCTTTGTTTGCTGGACAGCCTCCATCGGATTGGAGCTTTCACCTATCATTATTCCCGAACGGAGTAAAGGCATTAATCTCAAGTTCGCGAGTAGATCCGAGCTTCGTGAGTAGGAATTTTTAGATCTGGCTTCTAATTCTCCGAATTATGCTCACTGTTTACGAGATCTGAATTGTCTGAACTCTAAATCCGTCAGATCCTGCCACAATCGAACAACTCGTTGTTGCGTAGATCTGAAGTCACTCCTGCCAAAGCTTCAAGAATTGTAATTCCTCCAGAGTAGGTCACAATCGCTCAGATCTGGATCCAAATCCCAAAGATCGAGTCTCGATCAACCGAATTGGTTTGAATCCACTCGATATTCCTCATTGATCAACCAAACTTCCATGCGTTTCCCACAGACGGCGCCAATTGAAGATGCAAGAAATTCATTCCCCTCTTTCTCTCTCTAGAATTCTTACACCTCAACCAAAAAGATACCCCTCCTTTTCATTCCTTATCCTATTTATAGATATTTACAAGATATTTACAAGATATTTACTGATTGCTGGATCTGGGCCTATTCCTCCATAAGTCCTGGTCACCTTTGATGGGCTTACTCGCGTTCGGCCCATATGGCAGTGTCTTTATATGGGCCGACCCAGCTGTACGGACTGAATGTAGTGTTTGCAAGTCGGATCCGGCCCATGTCGTCCGGGGCCTCCGGTATCTTTTTGGTTGAGGTGTAAGAATTCTAGAGAGAGAAAGAGGGGAATGAATTTCTTGCATCTTCAAAATACAAATAAATAACTAAATTATATATAGAGAGAGAAAATTAGTCCATCAAGAATGTTTTTAGAAGCATTTGACAATATTAGTGATTGAAACAGTGGATGTTATGCAATGTTCGAGTCAATATTATTGGGAAAAAAAATGTTTAAGCCAAAAAATTTCACAACATTAGATAGGTAAAATAACACAGAGCAAAATATATAGTCACAAACATATACAAATGATTGATTACTGTTTCAATTTATACCTGGTCTTTTAATATAAGGCAAAATTTAATTATCAACTGCAATGTTACGCGAAATGGAAAATTAGAAAATTACTTTCTTACTAGTGATATTCAAGAACCTTAATGCAATCTATGTAGCATTCTGAATATTAAGTTATTACATCAATATTTTTCTAATTTTATAATTATTGATTTTTTTTTTTTATTTTTTTTTGAAGTTCAAAATTAAATTTGAAGTTCAAACTACCAATTTCCTAGGTATGTATCATAATTGATGACTAGTTAAAATACCCTTTCAATGGCTTGCTTTTAACCTCACCTAAGTCACACATAGTGAGAGCGAGTATGGGAGTGTGAGAGCCAGAGTGCAAATGACAAAATCTAAAAATAGTTACAACGGGAGGGCCTTTAGAACATTTGTATATGTGTTTAAAATGTTTTAAATATTTGTACATGTAAAGGCCTTTATTATGCTTTGGAGGAATAATATGTAATTTCAAAAGGGAAGCAATAAGTAACCTTATATTACATAATATTAGTAATAACTAAAGAATTGTGACTTGAGAAAAATATATAGATGCTTAAAGATATATTATTTATATTTTCGTACATGAAATGATCTTTTATAAAATTTTAACTTTTTAAAGAGATATTGGTACATGTAGCTGTCCATAATTCAAATGAATGAAAAACATTATGAATTCAAAAATTCATAAATTAAATTCGCGAATTGACAATATTAAATTTGCGAATTATAAAATGATTTACTCTCGAAACGTCAATTTATATGTAAAACATAAAAGTAGCACTTCTTTAAAAAGATTGTGCAATTTAAGATTACCTCAGGCTTGTTGATTGTGTGGCATGCGTGCAAAAGTAAAATTGTGAAAATTTTAACCAATTAATCAATGCAAATGGGAAGGAAATGAATGGTTATGGAATACCGTCAATCTGACTTTTTTTTAATTATTTTTTATTATTTTTTTAGCTTTTAGGAAAGCCATATTTAAATTGAATGGAGATAATCACTACGAAAGAGGGTGGATTTAGGTTTATTGATGGCTTCTCATACTCTTGGCCTAATCATTCATTTATATATTAAAAATTTAAACTTCTTTGAGTCAAAATTTTAGATATTATGGATTCAGAATAATATAAAATTAATTAATTTTAGAAAATATGTATGGGCTGGTGGACCATGGTGTAACTTGCCGAAATACATGTGTATTAAAATAGGGAATAAGTAATTTTCATAAGATAAGGAAATAAGAAGAAAAAATAATTTCTATATAAGATACGGAAATTAAAAAAAAAAAAGTCAAAATAAAATATAAAAATGTGACTCACAAAACAGTTGTCCTGTCTTCCATCATTTGTCGTACTACTAATCATTAATTCATTAAATATTTATAAAAAGGGCATGTTTAGTTCAGTTTTTAATAAAATAGTTTTAAAAAATTCACAAAACATGGTGCTCTAATTATTTAAAAATAAATATTTTTCTAACTCAATTTTCAAAAATTGACAACTAACTAGAATTTAGATTTATACAATTTTTTGATTTTTAAAATTTTTTGAAAACAAAAAATTATTATAAAAAACTAAACCAAATATATCATATAAGTGTTAGATGGTGACCGGTGTGATACTATGGTAAGTCCTCAAGGATTAGGGGTGGGATTTAGGTCTCAAGTCCTGCTCTTAAAATTTAAATCTTAAAGTACAAATTTATTTTGGGTGTAATTTGGCTGAGCAAACCGTTTTATCTGAAACACAATAAAAATTTGTAATTTTTATATTTGTGATTACCTATTATTCATATAAAATTAGATTAAAGTTGAAATTGAATATTTTACTTTGGTGGCATTTTTTTCTCCATTGGTGGCATAATGGTATTGCTAGTTACTAACCTAACTTGGGGGGAAAAAAAAAAATGAAGTGACTAACCTAACTTGTGACACATTGCCTTAAAAGATTGAAATAAAATTATAATAACTTATATTGTGTTAAATTTAAAAACAAAATAATAAAAAGTTTAAATTTTGATTTATTTCCAAATTACAATACGAAGGAACATTACAAGCTAAATGTATATTTATTTTTAACTATTTATTTATTAGTAATTTATTGAAACTTGAAAGGAAAAACCGTGAAAATAAGTTTACCCATCGAATAAAAAGGAGAAGAAAAAACTCTTTAATTTTGGAGTCCCACAAATAAAGGGAAAAAAAAAAATCCGAAAAAGAAGAAGGGACAAACCGAAAAAACTTTATGATTTAACCCAATGACTCTTCACTTGAATCCTCTAGTTTTTCGCATATACAAGTTCCTAAACCTATATTTTCAACGAAGTTAATAACTGACGACGTCCAAGATTTATCAAGGAGGAGTTTTTGCATTATCATCAAGTAAGTGCGAGACTGTAAATTTGTTTCTAATTTCTAAATTCTATAACAATCTTTAACAGTTGATTGCTCTGATTTGTTATCTGGACTATGTTTGGTTTTGATGTCTTAGAATGATTCAATCTTTTGCATTTATTGGATTGATTCTTGTTCTTAATCAGAATATGTTATGTTTATCTCAAAACTAGTTGAATTTATATGTCTTTTTATAAATATTATTCAAATTTTGGTCGATTGTTTATGGTTTGTTGCCTAAATTGATGCTTTCAATTCGATGATTCATGTATTATGAATACATTCATATGAAAAGGAGTCAACTGCTGACTCATACGATAGTGGGCTGTTGTAAAAGATTATTTTTAAGTTCAACATAATGCAAGCAGAGACCCTTCTTCACAATGTCAATCTCTGTGCTTCCGAAGTATGGCATGGTCAAGTACCGAATTTTCCAGGGCCATATTAATTTATTGATATTGAATATCTTGACCAAGTAAATTTTAGCTATAATTATGTTGGAAACTTGTATAAAATTAGTAATAGTCCTGAAAATATTTTTGGGTTACTGCATAAATGAATGAATTCTCTATACTTATACAAGATGAGATCCATGGGTTAGCAGGTATTCTGGGATGTGGGGTTGGCTCTTTCCCGATTTCTTACTTGGGACTCCCCTTGGGTGCCTCGTCGAGGAGGATTTCTGTTTGGGACCCAGTTGTTGAGAGATTTGAAAGGAGGCTGGCGGGTTGGAAAAAACAGTACTTGTCGAAAGGGGGGAGAATCACGCTCATGAAATGTACCCTTTCAAACCTCCCTACTTATTTTATGTCACTTTTTCCGATGCCCAAGATAGTGCTCCAAAGGTTTGATACAATTCAGAATTTTTTTTTTGTGGGGTGGTGTGGGGAATGAGTTCAAATACCATTTAGTGAACTGGGAGAGAGTCTGTACCCCTATTTCAAAGGGAGGTTTGGGGATCTGAAGGTTGGATATGTTTAATAAGGCCTTGTTGGGCAAGTGGCTATGGAGATTTGGGAGAGAGAGGACAAAATTATGGAGGTTGGTTGTCTCTTGTCAATTCGGGGAGGGAGATGGAGGGTGGCTTTCTAGGGAGGTGAGAGCTCCTGCCAGTATGGGATCTTGGAAACTAATTTGGAAGAGTTGGGATGAGTTTTCCAAACGCATTTGGTTCAAAGTTAGGAGTGGGAGGCACGTTAGATTTTGGGAGGATCGATGGTGTGGGGACTTTGTGATGGCTTGTAGATTTCCTTGTCTTTTCAGGATTGCCGTGAATAAGCATGTTGTAGTTGCTAACTGTTATTGGCTTGATAATGGAAAGGTGACTTGGGATGTGTAGTTTCGCAGAGAGTTGCATGATTGGGAGCTTTTGGAGATTACAGATTTTCTTGCTCTGATTTACAACCAGGTGGTGGAGGGTGTGGTTATGGATGTGATGGTGTGGGAAGGGTCATTGAGAGGGGTGTTTGAGGTTAGATCTTTCTACTAAAGTCTTATGGAGACCCCTTGCCTTTCCTTCCCTTGGAGAGCTATTTGGAGGGCTAAAGCCCCATTGAAGGTGGCTTTCTTTGCTTGGTCAGCTGCCCTTGGAAGTATCCTCACTCTCGACAACCTTAGAAGAAGACGCTAGGTTGTAGTGAACTGGTGTTGCATGTGTAAGAAGTCGGGGGAATCTGTGAAACACCTTCTGATTCATTGCCCTATGGTGAGGGACATTTGGGCTATGTTCTTGGTTGCCTTTGGTGTGGCTTGGATGTTCCTTGAGTCCACGGTTGATTTGCTTGAGGCTTGGAAATGGTGTATAGTGGAGAGCCGAGTCAGAGATGCTTGGAGGGCCACGCTCCTCTGTTTTTGGTGGGGCTTGTGGCGCGTGAGAAATAGGAGATCCTTTGAGGGGGAGGAGTCTCCTATTTGGTCTCTCAAATACAATATTTTGTTGTCTTTATTCTTTTGGGTTAATGGGCGAAATTGTATATCCTTGGATAGTCTTTTGGATTTTGTTGATAGTTTAAAGATGTAATGTCGCTGGTAGTGGTTTTTTGTTCTCTTGGGAGTGCTCCCCTTTTGAGTGCCTTTAATGAATTTTACTTATCCAAAAAAAAAAAAAAAAGATGATCTAATTTTTAAATGGATTCAGGAAGAACAAAGAGAAGTTTGGAATGTTAAGAAAGAAGTAAGGCTTACCAAAATCAATGAAAAAGAAGAAGTAGAAGTATAGAATGATTGTATTTTCTCCCGTATCTCTCACTCTCCCTCTTTAAATAGATACAATCATTTTGTTCTCTATCATAGTACATGACTTAACTTATTTACTTATAAAACAAATGCATAAATAAGACTATATATTTTTCTAAACACTCGAGCAGAGTAAGATGAAAATAGGAAAGACTTTCCTATTGAGTCTTGGGGTGTTTAGGCAATGATGACATGCCTTCGCTAACAAAATTGCTCAAGAAATTAATAATTTTTAAAAAGGATGCCTGAAGAATGGTGTAAAAGTAATTTAGTACATATATATAAAAATATAGGGGATATTCAAAAGTTTAAATTGCTGTGGTAGCATTCTGGAACAATGATTAACGTGTGAAATTACAATGTCGACCAAAACTACGTAGAATGTGGTAATAGAAAATGATTTTAATAAATTAGATCTAATAGGAGGAATGGATTATGATAAAAGAGAATCCTTGTGGCAGACCTTGTCAGCACGGGATAAAGGCAATGATGACAACGATGACGACGATTACGAAGAACCGGAGTGACAAAAATGGAAGCAATTTATTATTGAGGAGATTAATGGAAAGATGTAGACAAAAAGAAAGATTTACGAATAGATTTTATAGGTTTGGAGAAAACTTTCTATAGTGTTTCTAGATATTATATACTGGGTTTAGATAAGAAATGTGTAATGATCGAAATATTGATATGTTAAAGGACATTTATGATGATATAGTGACCATAGAGGTAAGTAAATTTTCAATTACTAAGGGTTTATATCAATGATCAACGTTAAGCCAAATATTTTTTGACTTAGTTATGGAGAAATTAACAAAACACCTTCATGATAAGGTTCCATGATGTACATCGTTTTATGATGATATCATTTTGATTGAATAAACCAAAGAACTGATAAATGCTAAACTAGATGTTTGGAGAGAGAGTTTAGGAGGGTTTTAGATAAATAGGATTAAATTGAATATATGGAATGTAACTATAGTAGATTAAAAATTTAGATAGGCTTTTGTGAAAATCGAGGATCAATAGGTACAAAAAAGTGACCATTTTCGTGACTTATCCTTGATTATGTATAAAGAGGGAGAAATTGGAGATGAGCAAGATGGGTGAAATGAATGATTGATTCCAACATTCGTGTGATAGTCATATACCTCGAAAATTGAAAGGTGAAATATTATAAAACATGTAATTATACCAGCTAGACTTTAGGACAAAATGTTAGGTGATTAAAAAACAACATACTCACAAAATGAGTGTGGTGGAGATGCGAATGTTGAGATGGATTTGTGGTGAGATAAAAAAAGACAATTAGAAATTTATACATTTGTGATATGGTCGAAGTAGCATTAATTGGAGATAAATGAGATAAAAGTAGTTAAGATAGTTTGGCCATCTGCAAGGATAACCAATAGTTGCACCGGTTAGGTCAAGTGATATGGTTCATATGGAGGGTAATGCTCGTGGAAGAGGAAGACCAAAATTAACATGAGTGTGGTGGAAATGCAAATGTTGAGATGGATGGGCCACAAAACAAGAAATGAAACCTTTATGAGATGTTTAAAGTAGTACATATTGAAGATAAAATGAGAGAAAACTGATTAAGATGGTTTGGACATTTGCAAAGAAGACACCAAGGGCAGCAATTAAGAATATTGACATGGTCCAAATTGAGGGTAATGCTAGGGGAAGGGGAAGACCAAAATTAACATGGGAAGAGTTAAACAGGAAAGTTTTGAATGGAAAAATAGGATTTATGTGGCTCTCCTCAAGTATTTTAGAAAAGGTTTTGTTGTGTTGAGTTGAATACATCAAATTCACGGAGAACCTTAAGGCTTTTATTGGTTTAAGTACTTCATGAAGGAAGAGAAAAGTAAAAGGAAAGTAGAGGGAAAAAATTGGTATTCCCTATATTTTCTCCAATGCTTAAGTGAAATTAGAAATTAAACTATTCTCAAATTTGCTGGGAATAAAGGGAAAAAAAATAGGAAAATGACAGTTAAAATTAAATATTTTTCATCTTCCTTTTCCTTGTATTTTTCCTCTCTATTTTGTATGGTTGCCAAACTCTCTCTTTCTCTCTTTCCTCGCTCTCCCTCCCTCTTTTTCTTATTAAATTCATCAACTAAACTAAAGCCTCTTAAACACTAAAGCAGATGCTGATGAAGTTCTTTCCTAATCGGCATGATGAATAACAACATTTATCAAATGATTGTAAGTTAAATGTATAATATGATATAGGATTTGAAGGTTTTTGACTCATGATTTGCTGGATGAGGAATAAAGAGAAACTTTATGAGTTCATGCTTTTGAAGCAGAAAGTAGACTAGCAAAGAAATCAAGAATGAGATCATGCTTTTGAAGCAGAGAGTAGACCGGAAAGGAAACCAAGAATTTATAATGATTCAGCATTCAGCGAGTGACTCTAGATAATTTTCTCATTGTTTTTGTATAAACTGTTAGATGCTTCTCTAAATTTTCATAGAAATAATCCCCTCTTATTGTGTTTTCACTGGCCATTAGTAAATGATGGACTTGTACTTCTATTAAGTAAAAAGAATTACGTGATATGCAGAGTTATTTCTTTAAACTTATGTTAGTTTCTATCTCCTTGAGTTCTCTGCTTTTGACAAGAAATTTCATATGATCAGGGCTCTATAAAATACAATGGACTAAAATAGTTTCTATAGTTTCTTGGGGATATATATGACTCCGGTTCATAATTATATAAGCATAACGTCCAATAGTCTTACCAACTGAGCTCTAGCATTTTCAATTCTTGATTTCATTGCAGAAAAAAAACTAGTGATGCACGTAGGAAATGAAAAAATCTACCAATGTAAAATCACTTAATAGAGCAAAAGTATTTAAGTGCTTTTTATTATATAACCTGGGATATCCTTTCCATTTATGCTTCCCATCTGAACGCAGCTCTCGGATAAAGATATCGCGGATCCCGAGCTAGATCCGTTTTTCATATCATCTTCGGAGCCAGCTGAATAGTGTTCAAATTTTGCAATGTATACTCCAAGGTTTGGCATTTTGCAATTATCGACTCTCATGGGGATATCTGGTTTTACCTCAACAGGTAATTCGCCTCGTTGATAGCTTTGGTTATCTGTATTACGAATAATCTTAGAAGCACTAGCATGTTTGGGCATATAGTCATCAAGTGTCTTCCTTATCCTCCACCTTGACCCACATGCGTTGCACAACACTGGCTTATCAGGTGGTCCATGTCTCCAAAGTGGAGTATCTGTTCCAAATTGTTATCCATTAGCATAAATGGAAAAACCAACTACTAATTCACATGGACACATCCACCAAGATATCATGCTGTCTTGAGATTAATGTGGAAATGTTAACATATGTTTGTAATGAAGTTGACATGTTAAATTTATTTCAAGAAATAAATGCAGGATTAGTTATTCCACCACATCCAGCAAAGCTACTAGACAACATATAGGAAACTTGGAACTGTGTTTTTCATCAGTCTTGAACTAATATTCTGTATCGTATAGAACAATCAAGATATACCTTCATCAGGCCATTATTCTTTTGGTCCATAACATAATGCATAAAAAATTTATTCTTTAGCTGCTTATTAAAAGTTCTTATAAATCCTATTTTAGCTGTGGTTGGCCTAGAACATAAATCATAGAACAGGGATTGCAATAAAAAGACTATAAAAAAGGTTAGAAAGGTCTGAAAAAGAGGGCAATATTCATTGATAGAAGTGAAACGTAAACATTTAAACTCTTGTTTAAATAAAACCTTACAGGCACACATGTAATGAGAGATGCCAATGCAATATGAAGTTCATTGTATGATCCTTAGCATGAGGAATCACAAACTATTTCGTATTGATACATGTGCTTTGTGTGTGGTAAAGTTTAATGGTTAAAATAATGTTTTTCAACTTCACCAAATTACATTTTACTGCATTTCGTACATATCAATTCATTTTATCGAACATATATGTTCTTGAGGGCACATTTAAAAAGAAAATGATACGAGCACGGCAACTTTAAAATTTAAATCCCAACCAACTGGTGTAATAGAAGCATGAAAATTTCTAATTAACTGCATATGGACACTTTTAAATAAGCCAGGAGGCCTTTTGGTCTTTAACTTTGGTCTCTTGTATTGAAAAACTGTCATAGAAAAGCCAATTAAAGGATACGATAGTCTTACCCTATGATTGGATCATTTATATTTTTCACATAGTGCCAATTGTAAAAGGGCAACAGTCCAAGTCCACAGAAGACAAATCTTTGACACTGGGAACGCAAATATTGCATATAAAAATCTTTGACTATCTATTTCATGAAGTGTTCCATACTACACCATCTTACGAGGAAAGAGTAGAAATACAATATAGAAGAAAGAGACGAGAAATATCTAAAAGGTTTGAATGATATTTAGAATATGTAAAGGCTTGAATGATATTAATCACTCATTCACAACTCTAGTATTTATAGATAAAAAAGAACACATGCTCATATTACAAGAAATGAAACTAAATCAAATCACAACGTATTCTAAAGCATATTCTATGGCATATTCTATAGCATAATCAAATCTCTGCTAATATGGTAAGTCATTCCATAAATCGTGGCTATCATATATGCTAACACTCCCCCTCAAGTTGGTGCGTGGATATCTAAGACGCCCAACTTGGACAATGCATCTTCAAACATGGTTTTGCTAGCACCATTCTTTAGAATCTACAAGTTGCAAAGTGTAAATCTGATTAGTGATGATTTTCTCTCAATTGAAGTGTCGATCAACAAATGAAAAATGTCTCCTCAGACTATAAACAACCAACAATGTCTCCTCAGACCGTAAACAACCAACAATGTCTCCTTAGACCGTAAACAACTAACAATGTCTCCTCAGACCGTTTCCCTTCACATTTTTAAAACATGTAGATGGAAGAATCAACAATGTCTCCTCAAACCATTCTCCTTCGTACATATGTTTAAACAATGTCTCTTCAGACCATAAAAAAGAAACAACTATGTCTCCTCGGACCATTTTTGAATGAGTGGTGCCAAACTCGCAACGGCCCTCATTGAGGTCGGACCACCCTGCCTACCCAACACCTCTCGGATGGGCGATGTCTCCTTAGATCATTCTTGAATGGGTGATGCCGAACTCGCAATACCCGCATTGCAGTCGGACCACACTGCCTCTAATACCAAGCAGAAATACAATATAGAAGAAAGAGGAGAAATATGTAAAAGGCTTGAATGATATTTATAATATGTAAAGGCTTGAATGATATTAATCACTCATTCACAGCTCTAGTATTTATAGATAGAAAAGAACACATGCTCATGTTACAAGAAAGGAAACTAAATCAAATCTAAATCAAATCACAACATATTCTAAAGCATATTCTATGGCATGTTCTATAGCATAATCAAATCTCTTGATACACCCATTTATTTCTACACTGCCCCCATAGCATAAATCGTGGCTATCATATATGCTAACAGAAAGAAACCACTTGATTTACCAACGGGCCAGTGGCCTAGTGGTATCAGCCTCTTACTTCCCAAAGGGAGGTCAGGGGTTCAAGTTTCAGAAGAGACAAAAGTGTGTGAGTCCCAATTAGGAAAAAAAAAGAAACCACTTGATTTGACACCGATAAAGATGACTTGAGTTCCTAAGCTGGGTGGGAGGGAGGGATACATATTGCAGAGTTGCACATAGCACCTCACTCTTTGACATCTTGTGATATATAATTTTGAACGGCACCAATAAGAAGGAGAAACACACTGCACGTCAAAAGTCTAATTTCAAAGTGTTTGAATACAACTATCTTGATACACCCATTTATTTCTACGCTGCCCCCATAGCATTTCAGATTAAAAGTAATAAATTCCAATTTTCCAGCATTTTTTATGTTTCTTTGGATATGGATTTTTCTATTCCTAAATGTTGTGGCAGTAGATATACCGTTCTCCTGATTGTTGTGGTGTGGAATATGATGGATAGAGTGACCAAGAAATGAAAATTCTCCCTACCAATTATACATAAATGGGTCAAAACAGGGATAAAATCAAATATTGATGTAGATCCATATGCTTGGTAATAAAACCCAAGCAAAATATTTCAGACCCTGTGATTCCGGTGAGGTTTCGGTCTGATTAGAATAATATCATAGGACTAGCAATTATTTTATTTATCGGCCCATTTGTTATATTATACTGACTAATAACTTATGTATTGGAATGGTTGGAAATCACTTCTTGTGAAAGTTAAAATAATTAGGAAAATTAAACACAATTGTGTTCATTTCAATAAGGCTATTTATATGTGTGTTACATAAACGGCAAGCATAAATCTAAGGCTAAATGTAAGCTAAAACTATAATTAAGCCTAAATATACGTAATAGAAGATATGCAAATATATAAGCTAATATCAAGCCTAAATCAAGCATAAATCTAAGGGAGCTGCCTAAACATATCCTATTACTAAAGCCTAAACATATGTAACCGCAGATATGCAAATAAACAAGTTATTATCAATCCTAAATCTAAGGGGGCTATCTAACACTCCCCTGCAAACTCAATGCTCTTGGGAGGACGTGTTTGGAATGCAGGAGCTCAAAGCGATGCTTGTGAAGCCCCTTAGTGAATATATCTGCAATTTGGTCGGCAGAAGGAACAAATTGAACACGATGGCTACCAGAGAGAACAAGTTCCTGAATAAAGTGATAATCAAGCTCAGTATGCTTGGTACGAGCATGGAAGACAGGATTGGATGCCATGTAAGTAGTGCTGAGGTTGTCACAGTAGAGCATGACAGGTGTGGAGAGAGGCACATGAAGCTCACGTAGGTGTCATATCCAGACGGTCTCTGCACAAACTTGAGCGAGTGAGCGGTACTCAGATTTAGAACTCGAACGAGAAACTGTAGGCTGTTTCTTAGCACTCCAGAAATGAGATTCGGGCCCAAGAAAAAAACACAGTAGCCAGAAATGGAACACTGAGTATCAGGACAACCAGCCCATTTAAAATCAGAGAAGGCATGAAGGACTAAAGCACAAGAGGAAGGGTGAAAGACCAATCCAAGATCCAAAGATCCTTTGGGATAACTCATAATGCGCTTAAGAAAAACAAGACGAGTGGTTCAGGGGGCACTCATGAACTAAGTGACACGATGAACTGCAAAGGCAATTACTGGATGGGTCAGGTATTGAAGAGATCCAACTAGGCGGAGATACTTAGTAGAGTTCAAAGTGGATCACCCTCTAGAGCAGAGAGCTCTGTCTTGGCACTTTAAGGGGGTACTGCATGGTTTGCACTTAGCCATAGAACAGCAGTGTAAGAGATCAACAGTGTATCGTGTCTAGAAAGATGTAGACCAGAGCGCAAAGGGGACACCTTAAGGCCAAGAAAGTAATGAAGAGGACCTTGATCCTTTATCTTGAGCTTTATACCAAGAGTGGAGGTAAAGGATGAGATCAATGACGGTGTGTTTCTGGTGAGCACAATGTCGTCCACATCCAACAATAGTATCATCTGAGAAGTCTGTTGAAATACAAACATAGAGTGGTCGGTGTGACTGTAAATCCATATAGGACGAGGAAGGAGCTAAAGCACTGAAACCATGCACGATGTTCCTGTTTCAGCCCGTAGATGGCCTTCTAAAGCTGACAAACATGGCGAGGGAGGCTAGGGATCGACAAATCCTGGGGGCTGAGTCTTAGAAAATGTGTCCTGGAGAAAACCATGCAAGAAGGCATTCTTGACATCTAATTGTTGTAGAGACCGCTCAGAAGACACTGCCAAGCAGAATAGTATGAATAGTGGTAGGCTTAACCACGGGGCTGAAGGTCTCATCATAATCCAGACCATGATGTTAATGGAAGCCCTTGGCCTAAAGGTGGGCTTTGTGACGTTCAACCGTGCCATCTGCTAGGCGCTTAACCTTCAAAACTCACTCGCAACCCACGGTATTCTTATGCGGCAAAGGAGGAACTAGGTTCCAAGTCTGATGTTTAAGCAGAGCATTAAACTCATCAGTAATAACAGCGTACCATTCGGAAATCAAACAACCTGAGAAAAATAGGTAGG